CAGGCGTGGTAGCGCATGCCTGTAGTTCCAGCTACTTGGAAGGCTGAGGCAGAAGGATTGCCGGAGCCCAGCAGGTGAACTCTGGGTTGGACATGAGTGTGACACTGCACTCTAGCCAGGGCGATGGAGTGAGACTCCAATTCAAAAAAATAAAAATAAAAATACATACATACATACATAAAAGTTAAAAAAAACTTACTGGGATCCTGTCGTCTTCTCGTCGTCTTCGACCTCTGAAAATGGTTCTCCTTTTAACAACAAAAAAAGGGAGAGGTAGCAAAACTCATAAATTTCTTCAAATATACACATTCAGTCAAAGCTGGACCATCCTGAATAGCTGAGACTAAAGATCCACCTCCATCCCCTTGCTTCCTATCTCTCTCTCTTTCCTTCCCTTACTTTCTTTTGAGTCAAGGTCTCACTGTCACCCAGGTTGGAGTGCAGTGGCATAATCACAGGCATCACGGCTCACCTAGGCCCAACCTCCTGGGCTCAGGTGATCTTTCCACTTCAGCATCCCAAGGTGCTGGATCTATAGGTGCCTGGCACCATGCCTAGCTAGTTTTTTTATTTTTTGTAGAGATGAGGCTTTGCTATGTTCCCAGGCTGGTCTCAAACTCCTGAGCTCAAGTAATCCTCCCACCTCAGCTTCCCAAAGTGCTGGGATTATGGGCATGAGCCACTGCACCTGGCTATTTCTTAAAAATAAAATAAAAACAATTAAATCAACTTATGTAAACAATGTATTTATTTAGTGCAACTATATACCAATGATTAAGCTAAAAATAAAATAAAAACAAATTGCCAGATTATGGTCTTCAGGTTTTAAAATGATCACATTATGATCAAGGAATTTTCATATGAATCCATATCTCCTTACCTGCCCCTACCATAGTCCCCATTCTGCTCCATCTGCAAAGGGGAAGTCTCCTTTGAAAGATAAGTTTGCTCCTGATGTCCTGTTACTGTAGGGTTATGCCGTTCAGTTGGTAAGTTCCTTGAATTCGATCTGTTTAGTGGCCCATCCCCCAATGACACAGAGCCCTCTGTTGAGTGTTCTGAGCCACTGGATGACCTAAAATGAGGCTTCACACTGTAAGAAATACAAGACCATACACATAAAACAGCAAGTCAAAATATATTAATAGAAACCCCTTTCCTCAGTTAAAAATTGGCTTCTGTTATATTCTGATCTTCTAAAAACTAAGTTAGACAAAAAAGTGCTAACTTATATAAACGCAGTACCTTTTATATACCAGACATTACTAAAAGGCAAAAAAAAAAAAAAATGTGTTTGCTGAATAGAGGTGCATGCCACTATGCCTGGCTAGCTTTTTTAAAATATTATTTCTTATAGAGACAAAGTCTCACTATGTTGCTCAGGCTAGTCTTGAACTCCTAGGTTCAGGTAATCCTCCCACCTCAGTCTCCCAAACTGCTGGAATTATAGGCATGAGTCACTGTGCCTAGCCTCAGTCTATTTCTTTTTTTTTTTTTTGAGTTGGAGTCTCACTCTGTCGCCCAGACTGTAGTGCAGTGGCCGCTCCCGGCCACCGCAGCCTCAACCTGCTGGGCTCCGGCGATCCTTCTGCCTCAGCCTTCCACGTAGCGGGAACTACAGGGGCGCGCTACCACGCCCAGCTAATTTTTTGATTTATTATAGAGATGAGGTCTCGCCTGCCAGGCGGGTCTCAAACCCGCGGGCTCAGGCAATCTACTCAACTCAGCCTCCCAAAGGCAGGGGATTACAGGTTGAGCCACCGAGCCCGGCTAGTCTATTTTCATAGTTACAAATTTATAATATTAATGAATAACATGTGACAACTGGCTCTCTGAGTGGGACTTCAAACCTCATGAATGAGTCCAACAATTAAATATTAGTTCTAATAGTATCTCTAACTGTTCTATTTTATTCTTTAGAGACCATAAAAAATTAGGTTACTACTATTAAAACTCAAAAGATAAAAATCAGGCTACAAAAGTGGGCAAAGTTTAAGTGTCACATAAAATAACACTATTCCAGAGAATCACTTTATGTTACAAAACAGATTTTTTGTTTTTTGAGTTGGAGTCTCACTCTGTCGCCCAGAATGGAGTGCAGCGGTTGCTCCTGGCCACCGCAGCCTCAACCTGCTGGGCTCCAGCGATCCTTCTGCCTCAGCCTTCCAAGTAGCTGGAACCACAGGCGCGTTACCACACCCGGCTGATTTTTTGTAGAGATGAGTTCTCGCCAAGTTGCCCAGGCGGGCAATTTTACTTAAGGCAGTTCTCTCTTCTATTTTTTTTTTTTTTTTTTGCAAATGATAACAGTGGTCCAAATATAAAACCTTTATTATACTCCTTAGACCTAACCAATCTCCTTCATTTCACTTCTTTTTGTGAATCCACTCACCTCAGCCTCCCAAAGCGTGGGATTACAGGCTGAGCCACCGAGCCCGGCTACAAACAGATTTTTTAATAGCAATGATAATTAAAGTATGTCACCTAACTAAAAAGTAATTTTAGTATGTATTTATGTATTTATTTTTCAGTCATAGTCTCACTCTGTGGCTCTGGCTGGAGTGCAATAAGGTGATCTTTCTGCCTCAGCCTCCTAAGTAGCTGGGACTATAGGTATGTGCTACCGCAACTGACTAAGTTTTTAATTTTATTGTAGAGATGAGGTCTTGTGATGTTGCCCAGGCTGATTAACTCTAGGCTCAAAGAAACCTCCTTCTCAACCTAGAATTACAGGTATGACCCACCGTGCCTGACAAAAATAGTACTTTAAAAAATATTTATACTGCACATCATATCTATAAATGACTTTATGAGGTAGAAATGCTGTTTAGACTTATGTATGGAGAATATCATTCACCAAAATTTCACATTGCATTTTAATATGCCAAAAGAACAAATTATTAGGTTTAAACAGCCCTCAGATCTCATAATCTTATACCCTTCACCGAGAGGGACTAACAATCTCAATCCAGGCAAAATAGAAAAAGAATGAAGAAACGACTGATAAAAGACAGAGGGGAAAAGGAAAGTGAAAGAATAAAAAAGTGTGAAAGGCAGAAAACTGTCTGGACTTCTGAAAGTTAGTCCTGTTCTCTCTAAGGAGGACTACTGATCATCACCGGGCTGTCACAAGATTAATACAAAATCACAAAGTTACCTTCTCCTTGATTGTTAATAATAATAATAGCAATAATAATAAAGGCCTAGCAGCAGTCACTTATCAGAAGCAAAAAGGAAACTAGGATTTGGGATGGTGGTCAAAAAGCTCTTGACTGCCACCAGTGAAGTTGACATTTTTTAAAATAAGAAAGTATATATATATTTTTTGAGTTGGAGTCTCACTCTGTCACTCAGACTGGAGTGCAGTGGCTGCTCCCAGCCACTGCAGCCTCGACTTGCTGGGCTCCAGCGATCCTTCCGATTCAGCCTTCCAAGCAGCCAGAACTACAGGCACGTGCTACCACGTCTGGCTAAGTTTTTTGATTTATTGTAGAGATGAGGCCTCACCAAGTTGCCAAGATGGGTCTCGAAACCGCGGGCTCAGGCAATTCACTCACCTCGGCCTTCTAAAGCGTGAGATTACAGGCTGAGCCACCAAGCCCAGCCAATAAGAAAGTATTAATTTATTTACAATTGAAGACTATTCAACATAAAAAAAGTTTTCATTTCTTATGCCTCTAATTAAAAATTGACAACTTGTATCATTCGAATATACAGAAAACAAGTGAATACAAGTGGTTTTGAATCACATGCAACATTTTACCAAACATGCCCTGTATTTTCTTTCTTTTCTTTTTTTTTTTGAGTTGGAGTCTCACTCTGTCGTCCAGTCTGGAGTGCAGTGGCACACTCCTGGCAACCACAGCCTCAACCTGCTGGGCTCCGGCGATCCTTCAGCCTCAGCCTTCCAAGTAGCTGGAACTACAGGCATGCGCTACCACACCTGACTCATTTTTTATTTATTGTAGAGATGAGGTCTCGTCAAGTTGCCATGGTGGATCTTGAACCTCCAGGTTCAGGCAATCCATACATCTTGGCCTCCCAAAGTGCTGGGATTATAGGCTGAGCCACCGAGCCCTCTTTGTGTGTGTGTGTGTGTCAAGAGTCTCACTCTGTCTCCCAGGTCGGAGTGCAGTAGCACACTCACAGCCACCGTATTCCTGATCTGCTGGGTTCAGACTATCCTTCTGCTTCAGCCTTCCAAGTAGCTGGAACTATAGGCATGTACCACCATGCCCAGCTAATTGTTTGATTTAATGTAGTGATGAGGTCTCACCACATTGCTCTGGCTGGTGTCGAACCCATGGGCTCAGGCAATCCTCTTGCCTCTGCCCCCACAAAGTGCTGGGAATACAGGCGTGAGCCACGGCACCCAGCTGAAATTGTTTTTTTTTTTTTGAGTTGGAGTCTCACTCTGTCGCCCAGTGGCCGCTCCCGGCCACTGCAGCCTCAACCTGCTGGGCTCCGGCGATCCTTCTACCTCAGCCTTCCCAGTAGCCGGAATTACAGGCATGCGCTACCACGCCCGGCTGATTTTTTTTTTATTTATTGTAGAGATGAGGTCTTGCCAAGTTGCTCAGGCTGGTGTCGAACCCATGGGCTCAGGCAATCCTCTTGCCTCTGCCCCCACAAAGTGCTGGGAATACAGGCGTGAGCCACGGCACCCAGCTGAAATTGTTTTTTTTTTTTTGAGTTGGAGTCTCACTCTGTCGCCCAGTGGCCGCTCCCGGCCACTGCAGCCTCAACCTGCTGGGCTCCGGCGATCCTTCTACCTCAGCCTTCCCAGTAGCCGGAATTACAGGCATGCGCTACCACGCCCGGCTGATTTTTTTTTTATTTATTGTAGAGATGAGGTCTTGCCAAGTTGCTCAGGCTGGTGTCGAACCCATGGGCTCAGGCAATCCTCTTGCCTCTGCCCCCACAAAGTGCTGGGAATACAGGCGTGAGCCACGGCACCCAGCTGAAATTGTTTTTTTTTTTTTGAGTTGGAGTCTCACTCTGTCGCCCAGTGGCCGCTCCCGGCCACTGCAGCCTCAACCTGCTGGGCTCCGGCGATCCTTCTACCTCAGCCTTCCCAGTAGCCGGAATTACAGGCATGCGCTACCACGCCCGGCTGATTTTTTTTTTATTTATTGTAGAGATGAGGTCTTGCCAAGTTGCTCAGGCTGGTGTCGAACCCATGGGCTCAGGCAATCCTCTTGCCTCTGCCCCCACAAAGTGCTGGGAATACAGGCGTGAGCCACGGCACCCAGCTGAAATTGTTTTTTTTTTTTTGAGTTGGAGTCTCACTCTGTCGCCCAGTGGCCGCTCCCGGCCACTGCAGCCTCAACCTGCTGGGCTCCGGCGATCCTTCTACCTCAGCCTTCCCAGTAGCCGGAATTACAGGCATGCGCTACCACGCCCGGCTGATTTTTTTTTTATTTATTGTAGAGATGAGGTCTTGCCAAGTTGCTCAGGCTGGTGTCGAACCCATGGGCTCAGGCAATCCTCTTGCCTCTGCCCCCACAAAGTGCTGGGAATACAGGCGTGAGCCACGGCACCCAGCTGAAATTGTTTTTTTTTTTTTGAGTTGGAGTCTCACTCTGTCGCCCAGTGGCCGCTCCCGGCCACTGCAGCCTCAACCTGCTGGGCTCCGGCGATCCTTCTACCTCAGCCTTCCCAGTAGCCGGAATTACAGGCATGCGCTACCACGCCCGGCTGATTTTTTTTTTATTTATTGTAGAGATGAGGTCTTGCTGCCCAGGCGGGTCTCGAACCCGCGGGCTCAGACAATCCACTCACCTCAGCCTCCCAAAGGCGCGGGATTACAGGCTGAGCCACCGAGCCCGGCAGCTGAAATTGTTTTTAAGGAAAAACTTTGCTAGCTTATTGTAGAGGAGAAAAATGTTTAGATAGATGGCCTAATCTTAGGCCCGTTGATAATTAGCCATGTAACAACCCTAGCAAGAGACTTAGCTTCTTCAGCCTTCATTTTCTTCTATAAATGAGTTAAAACTAATCATAATAAAGGTCTTTACAAATTTAAATATCATTGTCTCTTATGTGCTTGTGGAAATTCATCTTTTTTTAAGACAATGGAGGTTGGAGGGGAGTGTGCGTACTTCTACTCGTATGTCCTGGCAGTACTTGAATTTTCCTGTTAGCTGCTACAGCAATTAGTAACATAACAGAAATGTTCTAAGTGACTTTGACCCATAATAAAAATTAGTTGCTATGTTCCTTAGGAATAAAAAACCACAGGGCACAAAAAATGGCAAAAAAATTCTTAAACTGCTTTCAAAATTATATGGCAATTGGTACTGTTAATCCAGTATCTTTGTGTATAATTACAGAAGAGAAAAATCAGTATATAGGAGTAACTGAGATCCAAGATCTTCCCAAGTTCTTTTATATCCATTATCAACTCTGAGGTCAAAGTGTGTTTATGAATTCCAGATTTGTTTGCATATTTTTTGTTATAAAAAACAGAAACATAGCCAGGCTTGGTGGCTCAGCCTGTAATCCCGTGCCTTGGGAGGCTGAGGTGAGTGGATTGCCTGAGCCCGTGGGTTCGAGACCCGCCTGGGCAACTTGGCGAGACCTCATCTCCAAAATAAATTTAAAAAACTAGGCGGGTGTGGTAGCACGCGCCTGTAGTTGCAGCTACTTGGAAGGCTGAGGCGGAAGGATCGCCGGAGCCCAGCA